ACTGGGGTGGCACCGGGCGGGCACTGGTGGCACTGGGCTGGCGCTGGGTGCTGAGATGATGTGGGTGTGCAGAGCGGGGAGGGGCTGCCCTCCAGCATCGTGCGCTGCGCCCTCTGCAAGCGGGTGGTGAAGGCGCTCCGGAACGTTGTGGTCGACCCCAATGACAAGGTGAGACTTGGGGGGGGGACACACAATGACACACGTGGTGCCCTCGTGCCAGATGCTGCCCTCGTGCAAAGCCCCCCCCGTGTGCGACGTGCCCCCGTGCAAGGCCATGGCCCTGTGCAAGGCATTGCCCCCCCACCCGTGGTGCCCCCCATGAGATGCCCCTCGTGCAATGCCCCCGTGTGAGGTGATCCCCCCTGTGCAATGCACTTGTGTGCAAGGCGATGCCCCCCATGCAAGACCCCTGTGTACAGTGATGCAAGACCCTCGTGCAAGGCCCTTGTGCAAGGTGCTACCCTCCTTGTGCGATGCCCTCGTGCAAGGCGATACCCCCCATGCAATGCCCTCGTGCAATGCCTTCGTGCAAGGCAACGCCCCCGTGCAAGACCCCTGTGTGCAGTGACGCCCCTCATGCAAGACCCTTGCGCAAGACCCTCCCCGCCCCATGCAATGCCCTCGTGCAAGGCGATGCCCCCCCCCCCGTGCAAGACCCTCATGCGCTGACGTGTGCGGCAGGCGGGGGTGGCGCGCGTCACCCACCGCGTGTGCGGGCGGCTGCCGGTGGGGGCCGGGCTGTGCCGCCGCCTCCTTCACCACGCCTTGGCACCCATCGAGGTGGCTCTGAAGCATCACGAGAGCCCGACCCACCTCTGCACCAACCTGCACTGGTGCTCCCGGCAACCCTGAGGCGGGTGAGTCGTGCGTGTCCCGTGTCCCCCCCCCAGGGGACCCAGGCGTCCCGGCCGCTCCCGGCCCACGAGGGCTCTCGAGCAGAGGGCAGGGACGCGGCGCTTCAAAGCCCTGACGGGAAAGCAGGGCCGGGGGGGTTGGAGGGGGGTGGCGCACCCATGGGTGCTGTCGCAGCGGGTGGGAGCGG